TTTCAAGGAGAAAAAAGTAAAAAAACAATTCACTTTCAAATATAACATTCGTTTTCATATCCTTAATATCAGAAATTCAGCAGTTTTAAAGATATTGATAAGGCAGATGGATTTCATGTAAACTTCTTGCGGAACAACCCAGAATGACAGTTGGCAAAATATTTCTTTACGTTCAGGTTGTCTGAGGAAATCAATGAACTATAAAGTGCTGTAAATCTTATTGGGTACCTGGAATCTCATATTACACTTTCTGCATCTCTTGAAGTCAGATTGGAAATGTTAAAATTTATCTAAAGAAAGGAATTTATGAAGTAAAATTATCTTGCAAAAACACATGAAAGCTATCAATTTTATCCAAATCTTTGGAATTCCAACTGCCATTTTTGTTTGTTAAAAATCTTGGGTTTTATATGAGAGAAGTATGAAAATGTAATATTTATTATAGCCAAAAGACCCCTCTTTGGAAAAGTATTGATATAATCATAGAATCATGGGGCTGGAAGGGGCCTTGGAGGTCTATTAATCCAGGAGTCACCAACTGGTGGTCTGTGGACCACTGGTGGTCCATAAAAAAATTGTGGTGGTCCGCAGAAAAATTATTTGCATTTTTAATATTGCACTAAATTAGGGGTCCTCAAACTACGGCCCCTGGGACGGATACGTGTAATGAACATTTGTGTTGCTGCAGAGAGTCTCCCCCTTTGAGGTCTTTTTGTGTGGGTTGGAGGGGGGCAGAAATTCTGACTTGGGGTCTGCTTCAGCCTCCTGGTGTGGGGCTTTGGGTGAAGGCTGGAGGGAAGTGCTGCTGGTGGCGAAGAGCCGGAGGGCCTTGTTCCAGTGGGACTGCCTCATGGCCTGGAACTGGCTGACCATCTCAGCCCGCTGAGCCTTCAGGTGCCGGTACCTGGCCTTGCACTCCCACAGGTTTTCCCTCTGCTTGGAAAGCCTATGCTCCTAGTCCTCAGTGAGGTGCTTCTGCTGAACCTCCTTCTCGATCAGATCCAATTTGAACTGAGCTGCTTTGCCAACTCTTTCTTGTGGTGGCTGCTTAGCTCCAACAACTGCTTCCTGTTGGGGCGTTAAGGAGCCCAGGCAGGGAGGTGAGGAATTGATCACACCCACTCAGTCACATGACCACCTAGCCACGCCCACCCACCCAGTCATTAGGCAGATCATATTAGTGGTCCATGGGATTTAAAATTATGAATTTAGTGGTCCCTGAGGTCCGAAAGATTGATGACCCCTGTTCTAATCCAACCCCTGTCTAAGGCAGGGGTCCTTATATCATCTCGGTCAAATGGTTGTCATGTCTATTTTTGAAAACCTCCAGCGATGGAGCACCCCACAACTCCAGGAAGGTAGCTATTCCATTGGTTAATCATTCTCAATGTCAGGAAATTTCTCCTAAATTCTAGGTTGGATCTACCTCGGATGAGCTTCCACCCATTGCTTCTTGCTATTTCTCTTCATCAGCATTTTACAGTGATAATAAACAAGCCAAATATAAACTGCAGTTTAGAACTGTATAACCAGAAGTGTAGGCTGTAGCCTTCTCACATTATTTTTTCGACTCCTTCAACCTATTTTCCTCCTTAACTCTCCTGTGAGTTGATCGGAATGAGAATGGCTGGTCCAAAGTTTCGATCCAAGATTGTACAAAATTTCTTTTCTTGCCCCAAAGTTACTCGGTGAATTTCCGTGATTCAGTGAGATTTGAACCTGATACAACGCCTTCACCACTAGACCACACTGCTTTCCACTGAATCTAGAGAGGATGATTTCCATGAAGGATGGTGATATGGTGATAAGAATGTCACTTCAGTTACAGGGGCAATGAATGAACCGTTGGGGTCCCTAGAAGTTAAGGATAGATCATCATGGAGGGAAAAAAATCTATTTTTGCGCCTAGTGGGATATAAACTGACGTGAGGGCAGCTAATCAATCAACCAAGAATGTCACTGCAGTCTGTACCTTTCTGAAAACTTAATGTATAAAAAGCTGCATCATAAATCTCTGTATATGGGATATAATATGAAGCATGGTTATTTTTATTTTTATTGTGGGACTTTATTGCAATATGCCAGCTAAACCTTGTTTTGCTTCATGTGAAAGGGTCGGTCCACTCAAGCTTAGGATATCATACTGACAGCTCAGTTTCCAAATCAAAGTCTTATTTTTATCTTATCTCACCAGGCTCAAGGTTGACTCAGCCTTCCATCCTTCCGAGGTGGGTAAAATGAGGACCCAAATTGTTGGGGGCAACATGCTGACTCTGTAAAGCACTTAGAGAAGGATGTAAACTACTGTGAAGTGGTATATAAGTCTAAGTGCTATTGCTATAGTTAACTCTGCCCACTGCCAGCAGTTTGATCCTGACTGGCTCAAAGTTGACTCAGCCTTCCATCCTTCTGAAGTGGATAAAATGAGGACCCAGATTGTTGGGGGAAAGATGCTGACTCTGTAAACCGCTTAGAGAGGGCTGTAAAAGCACTGTGAAGTAGTATATAAGTCTACTTGCTATAGCTACTTTCCTTCCTTCCTTCCTTCCTTCCTTCCTTCCTTCCTCCCTCTCTTCCCTACCCTTCCCTTCCCTTCCCTTCCCTATCCGTCCATCCATCCATCCCAGCTCAATGTTGACTCAGCCTTCCATCCTTCTGAGGTGGTAAAATGAGGACCCAGATTGTTGGGGGCAATACGCTGACTCTGTAAACCACTTAGAGAAGGCTGTAAGGCACTGTGTAAGTGCTATTGCTATTATTTTTGCCTTGCAAACAGAACCTCTGTTCACACAAGCAAGAATTCCTTCTTTTTTTAATCTTCCCGACGTAACGCGATGCATAAAATATTTAAAAGATATGCTAAAACCATCCTTTTATATTAGAATGGCTTTAAAAAAATCAATTAGCATTTCCAAATAGTGCTAATAGCATACATCAGCCCAGCCAGATCTGATTGCACTTAACCAAAAAAAAAAAAAAAAAACAACCCACAAGATGAGACTTAAAATTGAATACTTATCACTATGCTTGAAAGAAATTTTGAAAACAAAACCAACTTTTCACCAATCTGCCATCAGGAACAATTTGTGTCTCTTTAAGTCACTTCACATTCATACATGCGCTTCAGTTCAGTTTCAATCAGGCCAATTATTATAAGCATCTATTATGCCATTTTCCCCCCCCTTAGCTATTTCATTACTATGAGATTTTGGCTATTCTGAAAGCTAAGAGAACATAAATAATGTTGTGAAGAAGAAGATACAAAGGAGAATATTTGTAACTCAGGGTTGAAATGAGGGGCCCTTGGTGTTTTCTGAGCTTGATTGTTTTCTAGCAGACGTTTCATTACCCAGATAGGTAATATCATCAGTCCACTGTATGGAAATGTCTGCAAGAAAGAAACTAAGCTCCGAGAGCACCAAGGGCCCTTCAAAAAAAGCCATATATAAGATTATATCATGGATATGGATTACTCAGAGAGGGGAGAACTGAATCAGTGCATAGATTGGCATCATCAGGAACCTATCAATTCTCGCAATCTTTGTTTCATGCCTCATTGCTAACGCAGGTTCTTCTACTCTCATCTAAGCAGTAAGAGGAACATGGAAAAGTAGACAGATTACTTTTATATTCTAGAGAGGGATAGCAATTGGGATTGCAAGGCAAGGACCCAGGAAATGTGATGGAACCCTCAGGATATATCTAGTAGGTCAGTGGTGGGTTTCAAAAAAATTTACTACCGGTTCTGTGGATGTGGCTTGGTGGGCATGGCATGACTTGGTGGGCGTGGCTTGGTGGGTGTGGCAGGGAAAGAATCAGTGGTGGAATTCAAGTAATTTAACAACCGGTTCTCTGCCCTAATGATTTCTTCCAACAACCAGTTCACCAAACTGCTCAGAAGGTAAACAACCGGTTCTCCCGAAGTGGAGAGAACTGGCTGAATCCCACCACTGGAAAGGATACTGTAAGATCTCCATTCCCACCCCACTCCAGGGGAAGGATACTGTAAAATCTCCATTCCCACCCCACTCCAGGGGAAGGTTACTGCAAAATCCCCATTTCCTCCCAATCAGCTGGGACCCGGGAAGCAGAGAATAGATGGGGTCGGGGCCAGTCAGAGGTGGTATTTACTGGTTCTCCGAACTACTCAAAATTTCCACTACTGGTTCTCCAGAAGTGGTCAGAACCTGCTGAAACCCACCTCTGTAGTAGGTTAGACAAAAGCTATCATTCTTTGGCCATGTCATGCGAGCTAACTCACTCAAAAAGTCAATCATGCTTGGAATGATCAACAGAAAAACGGGAAAGGGGGTATCCTAGTACCCACTGGCTGAACACTATAAAGGAAGACACCAAGATGACTATGGAGGATCTGAGGCAATGCGAGACAGAGGGGCATGGAGATGCTGATCCATAGAGTGGCCGAAGGTCAGACATGACTGAATGGCTGATGATGATGATGATAAGATGGTTGTAGCTTGAGGTTGGCAAGATTGAGGTCAGGCCAAGCCCAGAAACAATACCGCAAAATCCAGTAGGGTTCAATCCTTTATTTGCTTACACCTAAAGGACAAAACCTTTTTTTTTTTTTGAAGGCAAAGTGATGGAGCACCAATAATCCAAGCTTCCAGTCTCTAGCCAAGAAGTCCAGGAACCCATCAGTTTGATGGGTCTTGATAGTTCCTAGTTGGAAATCCAAAATCCACAGGACAGGGTAGGGTAGGGTAGGGTAAGGTAGGGTAGGGTGGGGTAGGGTAAGGTAGGGTAGGGTAGGGTAGGGTAGGGTAGGGTAGGTAGGGTAGGGTAGGTAGGGTAGGGTAGGGTAGGGTAAGGTAGGGTAGGGTAAGGTAGGGTAGGTAGGGTAAGGTAGGGTAGGGTAGTAGGTAGGGTAGGTAGGGTAAGGTAGGGTAGGGTAGGGTAGGGGTAGGGTAGGGTAGGGTAGGGTAGGGTAGAGTAGAATAGAATAGAATAGAATAAATAGAATAGAATAGAATGAATAGAATAGAATAGAATAGAATAGAATAGAATAGAATAGAATAGAGTTGGAAGGGACCTTAGAGGTCTTCTAGTCCAGCCTCCTGCTCCTGCTTTCAGATAAGTGACTGTCTAGTCTCTTCTTAAAAACTTCCAATGATGGAGCGCCCACAATTTCCGGAGGCAAGCTGTTCCACTGGTTAATTGTTTCACTGTTAGGAAGTTTCTTCTTAATTTCAGGTTGCTTCTCTCTTTGTTTAGTTTCCAACCATTATTTCTTGCCCTGCCCTCTGGTGTCTTTGGAGAATAATTTGACATAGAGAGCAGCTTAGAAAATTGCTTGCTTACGTGGCTCCTCTCAGAAACATAGAGTCATGGAAATCGACCATTAAAAAAAAAAAACCCAATGAAACAAGGTAAATATTAGAATCTGTGTGTCTAATCTACTATTTTGCCACTTGGGAGATTCCACAGCATTACTTAATACCCCTGGCACAATATCACTCGTTCTAGAAATAAATAAGTAAGAAGACAGTTCTCCTTCCTAGGGGGTCGCTTTCCTTTACTCAAGCTCCTTCAGGATGCTGTGCCCAACCAGATAGAAGAGAAGACCGGACAGGAGCACTAATGGGATCCCAGCAGCCGCAAACATGAAAGACCAGCCGTAATAAACGGACAGAGGGGTGTCACCTGGGCACCTTTCGCTTCTTTCCAGTAGTACGTATTTACGGAGATCAGCAGCAAATTCTTTCCACACCACAAACATAAATATGAGCAGGGTAAATAGACATCCTGTTCGACAGAACGAGAGAGAAAGAGAGTGAAAAGAAAAATGAGAGAGAGAAGAAAACGTCTACTTCAGTGGTGGCTAGCCTTTGTGCCGTCGCGTGCCAAAAGTGGGGGGGAGCGCGGGGGAGGGTCGTGCACGTGTGTGCCCACACCCATAATGCAATGCCCACACATAAGCCTTGCCCCTGCATCATGGGTGAAATGCTCCTGGTTCGCCCGATCCAGTAGCGATGGTGACGGGTGGTTCGGAGAACCGGTAGCAAAAATCCCTGCGCCTCCCCACCATGCTCAGCTGAGCTGCACGATCACCAGAGGCTTTTTTTTTTTTACTTTTAAAAGCATTTTTTCTACAACCTCTTCCTACGAAAAAATGCTTTTAAAAGTTTTTTAAAAAGCCTCTGATGATCGCACGGCTCAGCTGGGATCGTCAGAGGCTTTTCAAAGCATTTTTTTCTGCAACCTCTTGGCCAAAGAGGTGGTAAAAAAAATGCTTTGAAAAGTCTCTGACGATCACAGCTGAGTTGCCTGATCGTCAGAGAGGCTTTTCAAAGCATTTTTTAAAAAGCCTCTCTGACAATCCCAGCTGAGTTGCCTGATCGGCAGAGGCTTTTCAAAGCATTAGAAAAAATGCTTTGAAAAGTTAAAAAAAAAAAAAGTTGGCCACGCCCACCCAGTCACATTACCACCACCCCCACCAAGCCACGCCCACAGAATCGGTAGTAACAAATTTTACATTTCACCCCTGCCCCGCATGTGCATGTGACTCCCCCCTGTGCATGCGTGCGTGACTCCTGTGCTCACCCACCCCCATATATGCACGTGTGATCCCCCCGCGCTCCCCCAACCCCTACCCCCATGCAAGGGTGCACAACCTCCCCATGGCCCATTTTGGGCCTGGCAAGCCTCCCTGAAGCCTCCTGGGACCTGGCACTGCTCCCCCCCCATTCTCCCTCCCCCCCGTGCATGCACACAAGACCCCCTGCACATGCACGTGCGTCTCCCGTATGCGCCCCGCCCCCACGCCAGAGACCCAAAAATTAGCTGGCCGGCTAATATAGCATGCATTTATATCATGAGTGTATTTTGCTCTTACAGATTTAAGAGAGGGGTAATTGAATTTTGCAATTGGAATAAGTTGAAGAACAGAATTAGGCAAAAGAGAAAAAAAAAAAAGAATGAGTGTATTTAGCCATAAGGTAGAAAATACTTGCTGAAATATCACTTATTAAAGTGCTATAATTTTGCCAATGGAAAGGAGAAAAATTTGTATCTTGAGTCACATCTTATTAAAAAGAAGAAGCAGAAGCAGATATGGTTAACACAAGTTTTTCTGGTATTATTGTATATAGATATACTCTAAATGTTTTGGGTTGGCAACTATAATCCAGCAAGAAGCAATGTTGAAGAAGTACAAGTTTGTTTCTTTGATAAAGATTTACCTAATTCTTTCTCTAGTTTTTGGATTCTAGTTCTGTTCAAGAAAAATAATATATGGTAGATGAGAGATGATTGATGTTCAGTATGAATTCCAATGAAATTTATGTGGGGGAAAAAATCGGCAAGAGGCATGCGCACATGTGTGGTGGAGCTGAGCTGGGTGATGGATCACATGCCCACAGAGAGGGCTCCTCAGGGTGCCTTTGGCCAAACAATGTCGACTGGCGACCCCCAGGGGGAGAGCCTTCTCTGTGGGGGCTCCTGCCCTATGGAATGAATTGCCCCCGGACATACGAAGGATCCCCGACCTCCGCGCCTTCCGTCGTGCTCTGAAGACCCTATTATTTCAGCAAGCCGGTCTGACGGGATAAATGATTTTAAATTGGGTTTTAAAATGGTTTAATATGGTTTTAATTGGAAGTTTTAATTTTGGCCAAAGATTGAATTGTTTTAATATGTTTTTTAAAATTTTGTCTTGTATGTTGTTTTATCATGGCTGTTCACCGCCCTGAGTCCTTCGGGAGAAGGGCGGTATACAAATATAATAAAAACTAAAAAAAAAACTAAAAAAACTAAACTTAAAAATAAAAGCTTCCTTCAGAATTTCAGCTGAGTAGCAGAATGATCGAATGAAGAAAATTCCACCGAGATTATAAAATGAGCTCATAAATATGAGCCGTATGAATTCATATTTCTACACCTTTGCTTGTTCTCTCTCTTTTTTTTTTTTTTTAATTTGAACCACGTTTCTTATTGTTCTTGTGAAGCAATCGGGATCATTCTAAGAATGATTATACTATCTTAAATCTTGGTTCTTTTTCATTGCCAAAATCCCTGATCCCACAGACCTGCATAAAATCCTGTTTTTACATTTCTTATATTGATATCTTTGTAGCTTTCTAGATTTCTGAGATAGATTTTTATACATAGATACATACATACATACATACATGCATACATACATACATGCCAGTACATACATACATACATACATACATACATACATACATACATACATTCATACATACATACTCTTCTCCAAAACTCTGCATTGGAATTTGTTGATCCTGGGTAACTCACAATTTTCCCTCTCCTTTGTCATTTGCAAGATAGATGTTGCTCTACAAATATTGGACCAAATGGATGTTGTTGAAATTTTGGATTTTTTCTTTTTTTATTTAGTGTATCGATTGGTCATCTCTATCTCACCTAGCATTTTCCTTCCTTCCAAGCAAAAACATTTTAAAAACTTGCAAAGCAGGACAAAGATAATGAAAGCCATAAATAAATAAGTAAGTAAGTAAGTAAGTAAGTAAATATCCTGCCACTGATCTTAAATTCACCTAATTCTACTGGTTGATTCTTCAGGGCAGAGTAAGTGAGAACACTTTGAGACTGGAAGAGTTATTTATAAAGCTAATAAAGGTGGGATAAAAATAAACTTATAAAAACGGAAGACAGATATGTTGGGGGCAGATATATAGGGAACAAGGGGGAGAGGGAGATATGTCTTCCTTCATCCTCCCTGTTCTTTCAGAGGCAACCACCATAAACGACCCAAATTTCCCCCAAATTTTGATTTGCAGCCCACCGAGACCTGCACCATGGATTCAACTTTGCTTTGTGACATCAGCCAAACAGATCCAATATTCTTGTTCCCTTTTTTTTCCCCTTTCCAACCCTGTTCTGCCGGTATGTATAAAACGAAACGCACGCGATTAAACTCTTATTATTTGTATCTCAGTGTTGATTCAGGTTAATCGTCTCTTCTGGGGAGAACTTAATGGTGAGAGAACTGAACCATGATATGAAACTTTTCTCCTTTCTATTCTCATCGCAATTGTCAAGGGGCTAAACCAGAAGGCTTTCGAACTTCCAGGGAACCTGCACTTTCATTTCGTGTAAATCGCGCATCTCAACCCTCCTTGCCTGACTTCTGCGGTTCAAAGCCTCACGAAACCTCATTGGCTAATTGCAGAGGGAAATGGGTGAACTCCTGGCTTGCTTTAGAACTCGCGGAATTTATCTATAATTTGCTAATTATAGGGAAATGAACCTCAGTCCCCTTTTTCCCCACCTCCGTGCCTAGCAGAAACTTCAAAATAATGAGATGTTGAGATCTTTCTGAGCAAATTTCGAGAGCGCAAAAGCACGTGAAATACGAAGAGTTTACAGCTGTCACAGTATGGAACTTTTAACTTGTAGAGAACAGCTTTGAATTAAAATGGTAGGCTGTATTTTTCTGCTGATTCCATTTAAACAACCTCTATTCATGAGCTGGAAAGAATAATTGAAGACCGAGTTAGTCGTTACCGTTCAGCCTACTGAGAAGGCTACCTTATCATGAACACACAAACTATTTTCCACTGGGATTGTTACTGTTGTTCGAGGCATATTCTGGGAATGTACAAGAATCCATCACAAATTTCCAGAAAGGGTGCCTTCAATATTTTGCTAATTGAGACAATGGATTTATAAATCCTGACTTTCATGATGGAGCTTAAATATGGCATACAGAGAGTCCTTGACTTAGGACCACAATTGAGCCCAAAATGTTGCTAAGCGAGACGTTTTTAAGGGAGTTCTGCACCGTTTTATGACCTTTCTTGCCAGAGTTGTTAAGTGAATCACTGCAATGATTAAGTGAGTAACACGGTTGTTAAGTGAATCTGGCTTCCCCATTGATTTCGCTTATCAGAAGGTCACAAAAGGGAATCACGTGACCCTGGGACATTGCAAACCGTCATAAAGGTGAGTCAGTTGCCAAGCACCCAAATGTAAATCATATGACCATGGAGCTGTTGCAATGGTTGTATGTGTGAAAAACAGCCACAAGTCATTTGTTTTCAGTGTTGTTGTAACTTCGAACGGTCCTTAAGTGAACTGGGGTAAGTCTAGGACCGTCTGTATCTAGATGACAGCTGCAGAGAAAAAGCAGCATACAAGAGAAGCTTAAATCATCAATATCTAGACAATAGTTGGACTAGAAGACCTCTAAGTTTGCTTCCAACTCTGTTATTCTTTATAAATCTCTCCATTCAGTCTTACCAAGAGAATGATGGCGATAAACAATACTTGGAAATGTACCTCAGGTCTTCTGATAGCAAAATCTCATCTTATTGGCTAATATCAAGGGGAAGATGACTTTGAAAAAGCATCCTCTCTCACCGTAACATGCAAGACAAGGTGAAGACTGGCTGGGAGGGGAGGGGCGAGGAGAGGAGAGGCCAGGAGAGGCGCCCCTCAATGTGAGTGACATCGAGTTGGTCACGTCCACCCAGTCACATGACCACCCAGCCACACCCACCTAGTCACATGACCACCCAGCCACAACCACCCAGTCACATGACCCCCCCAGCCATGACCACCCAGTCACATGACCCCCCCAGCCACGACCACCCAGTCACATGACCACCCAGCCACGACCAACCAGTCACATGACCACTCAGCCATGACCACCTAGCCATGACCACCCAGTCACATGACCGCCCAGCCACGACCAACTAATCACATGACCACCAAGCCACGACCACTGTTAAAATTGTTCAAAAATTTGAATCCTATCA